GGGGGGGGGGGGGGCCGCACCTCGCAGCCCGGCGACTGCAGCCACACCGGCAGCGTGGCGGTCGGGGCCGACAGGAGCCCCAGCTGGGATTCCATGCTCTGGGAGGTGGTGGCGCCCTGTAGGTCCGCGGCCGAGGGGGCGTCCGCGTCGCCCCCGGCCCCGGGGGCCGCCATCAGGCCGAAGCGCATGGTGCGCGGACGCGCACCCTCCGTACCCGGCGGGGCGAACATGGCGCGTGCTCTCCGGAGGGCGAGGCGCCGCGAGGGAGCGGGATGGGGGGGAGGGAAAAAAAAAGAGCGGGAGAGGCGAGCGGGAGAGGCGAGCAAGGAGGGGCAGCGGATGTCGGCCGTGCGTATGTGTGTGTGCGTGTGTGTGTGTGTGTGTGTGTGTGTGTGTGTGTGTGTGTGTGTGTGTGTGTGCGTGTGTTGGTGGTGCTGTTGCGCGGCGGCGAGGGCTGGCGCCGCCAGGCGGGGCCCACTTGTCCCCTTTCCGGCCGCCGGGCCCCGGGCTCGCGGGGGAGGCCCCCGCTGGGGGGCGCGCGCGCGCGCGCGTGCAGGCTGCGATCTCGGTTCCCCGCCCGGTCCGCCGGGCAGCCGGCGCCACAACACAACAATCGGCCGGGCCGCGCCGCGGCACCCTGGCCGGGCCGGGCGGCGGTTCCTTCGGCGGCCTTGGCCCGCCCGCCCGCCCCCCCCCCCCCCCCCGGGCGGGGAAGAACTGGCGCACCGACGCCTGAGGGAAGGATGACCGACGCACCCGGGGGCATGCGCGCGCGCGCGCGTCCGAAAAGGGAACTCGCGCCCGGGCCGGGAGATCGGGCGGCACATCACCGGCGTCCGTCACGCGGGCATGCCACGTGCCGGATCACGCCACTAGGCTCGGCTCCGGCGCCGGCCCTGCGCGCTTCTGTCGGTGGGCGGGTGCAGAGGACGGCCGGGGGGGGGGGCCGGGACGGGGGGCCGGGACGGGGCGGGCGTCGGCCCCGGTCGGGGGAAGAGCCGCCCGGAAGCCCCCCGGCTTCTGACGCCCGAACGTGTCTTCCCCTGGGCGGGGCATGTCGCGCGTGCGCGCGCGCGCGCTGCGGGCAGATCGCGCCCTCGCCCGGCCCGCAGCCCACAACCAGCCGCCGGACGGCCCCTGCCCGGGGGCCGGGCGCGCGTGGGAAAATGGCTGTGTCAGCCCGCGGCCCGGGTAGCGTAATCTGGCCGGCGGCGGCGCGGCCGATCCCGCCGGCCGGGGGGGGGGAGGATTGGGCTTTCTGCCGGCGCCGCGCGATCACCGGCCCCGGGACCCCGGGCACACACACGCACACGCCCGCACACGCCCGCACACGCCCGCACACGCACGCACACGCACGCACACACTTTGCCCTCACCCGGCCCCGACAGCACTCCCATCCGCCCCCGCATCCAGCCCCATCCCTCTACTTGATCCCTTTCGCCCCTCTTCGCGCGCGCGCCCGCCCGCCCGCTCCGGACATCCCCTGCACACAGCCATGTCCGACAGATCGATGTGCGCTGCCAGCGGCGGTGGCCCGCTCGCGGCCAAGGAGCTGGCCGACTTCGCCCAACAAGTGGGCCGGGCTGCCAGCGCGGGCCCGGACCCCGGCGCGGCGCTGGCCGCCCCCGAGTCCGTGCCCCACCCGGTTCCCCGGGCCACGGCGGCGGCCCGGGGCTGCCCCTTCCGCGGGGGCTCCGCTCGGCCGGTGGACAGCCTGCCCGGGCAGCAGCAGCTCCTCGTTCAGCCGGGCGACGGGCTGGCCACCGGCGGGCCGGTCCCGGGGGCCGGCCAGCGCGCGGCCGAGCTGGCCGGCGTCGACCATGTGCGATCGCTCGGCCCGCCCGTCCGCCCGCCCTCCCCCGCACGTGCCATCTTCCCAGCACTGACCCTGTCGTTATTTTGTCTTCCCCCCCTCCCCCGCCCCCCCCCCCCCCCTGGGATCAGGCGGCGCTCCTGGCCGACGAGTGGGCAAGCATCTACTCGCCGGGGGGCTCGCCGGTGCTCGGGTCGCCGGTGACGGCCCGCCCGGGGCACGCCGTGTCGACGCCGCGGTGTCCCTTTTCCGCGGCCCTGGCCGGGGGCCCGGGGCTCGGGGCGCCCGGGTGGCACGGGCCCGGGGCGCTGTGGCCCGGGGCCGGGGCACCGCCCCCCGCGGCCGACGCCTACCAGGAGCTGGTGGCCGCGCCGGAGGACGTGGCCCGGCTGGACGCCCCGGCCGAGGCCGACGATGCGCCGGCCGAGTCGCTCCTCGACCCGGACACCCAGCGGCTCCTGCTCCGGGGGAGCGCCGGCGCGGCGGACCTCCTGTCCGGGCCGGGCCGCTTGCAGGCCGAGGCCGCGCGCGCGCATGCCGCCATTCGCGAGGACCCCACGCTCGGGGGCGGGCGCTTTGCTCGGTTCATGGTGCGTGGCGCGGGTGCCGGGTCTTTTTCCTTCGTCCCCCCCCCCGGACCCAGGCTCCCGTTCCGACATGCCGCGTGGCCGCGCACCGCCACTGACTGACACCCCCACCGGATCTCCTTTCTCTCTCTGTGCGTGTGCGTCTGCGGCCCGGGCGGGCCGGCGGGCGCAGTTGGACCTGAGTGCCGGCGCCGCGACCATCCGGCCCGACGGCTCGGTGTCCGGCACGGCCGAGCCCCAGGCCGCCGACCGGCTCATCCTGCCCGGGGCCGATGACCAGGCCGGGCCCGAGGCCGAGGAGGACTTGTCCGGGGTCCAGGCGGCGGTGCAGGCCGCCGCGCGGGCCTTCGGCCTGCGCCAGCCGGCCGACCGGCAGACCGCCCCGAGCACGACGGCCCCCGGCATGGCGGGAGACGACACGACCGTGGTCCCGGCGCCGCCGGGGCCCGGGCCGGAGGTGGTGGAGGCCGCGCGCCGGGCCGGCCTCCGGGCCTCGGAGGCGCCGGCCCCCGGGCCGGTCCTCACCTGCCCGATGACCGGGCGCCGGGTGGCCGTGCCGGCCGACGGCCCGGCCAGTGAGGCCGTGCGCCGGGCTCTGGGCGGGCCGCTGGCGGCCGCGCCGGCCGAGGCGCTGCCGGCCGCGTCGGCCGCCGCCCAGCAGTGCCCCTACCTGTCGGCCAAGCTCCAGGGGGCCGAGCACCCGGCCGATGGGCAGGTGGCCGCGCACCACCCGGCCGGGTCCTGGGTCACGGCCTTCCGCCAGGCCATCGAGCCCCTGCGGCCGGAGCCCCGGCCCGGGCAGGCGCTCGACGAGTGGACCGAGTGGGAGGAGGAGACGCTCCCGGCGACCGGCTGGCGCCAGCACCGGTGGCTTGGCTGGGGCTATGAAGCGTGCGTGCCCGGGGTCCGGCCCCGGGGGCCCGTCTTGCGGCGTGCGATCGAGCCGGCTTGCTGACTCCCCCCCCCCCCCCCCCCCCCCCGCCCCCCCCCGCCCCGCCCCCCCCCCCCCCCCCCCCCCCCCCCCCCCCCCCCACACGCACCACCGGCGTGCATGCATGCACAACATGGACTCCCGCGCGCGCGCACACCTGCAGCTATCGCCGGGCGGACTTCACCGCGTACCGGCCTCGCTTCACGGCCCGCAGCCGGGCGCTCGAGCCGCTGTACCAGGCCCGCGCTGACCTCGGTCCCGGCGACCTGGCCGACGTGCTGGCCCTGGCGCGCGAGCTGTCCCTCGGCGGGCGGGCCGAGTCAGGTACGTGGGACAATCGCCCCCCTGCCCCGCCCCCCCCCCCCTCCCCTCCCGGTGTGTGTGTGTGTGTGTGTGGTGTGTGTGCTTCGCCCCTTGCCCGGCCTGTATCCTGACGCCTCGACCGGTTGGCCGGCCGGCCGGCCCCGACACCCAGCCGTCGCCCTGCTTGAGGCGGCCCTGGCCCCTGGGGGCGAGGTGTCGACGCCCGGGCTGGACTCGGACGTCGCGGCCGTCGCCGCCAGCCGGGCCGACCTCTGGCAGGAGCTCGGCCGGCTGCATGTGCAGCAGATGCGCGACGGGAGCGCCCTCGGGGCCCTCTGGGCCGCGGCCGGGATCCTCTACCCGGCGGAGGTGGCCGGCGCGTCGGCGGCCGGGTGGGGCCCGACCGAGGCGCCGGTCGCCGGCGTCCCGGCCGCGCCCGCGGCCCAGGTGCCCGGCATCTGGCTCGAATTGGCCGGGTGCTACCAGGCGGAGAAGTGCCGGCCGGAGCTCTTCAAATGTACGCTGCCCCCTGCTGCCCCGGTCCTCTGGCCGCCCGTGCTGACTGCTTGCTGTTGCCGGCCGCTTGCTTTGGTCTCCCCCTCCCCCGCCCCGCCCTCGGGTCCCGGCCAGGCGTCATGCAGTGGCTGAACCTGGTCAGCCCTGGCCCGGAGCCCTTCGCGCCGGCCATGAACACCGAGCACTTCTTCGTGGACCTGGTGCGCGCGGTGGCCGGCGTCGGACAGCAGTGTGTCCAGGCCCTGGCGGCCCTGGGCCCGGACCGGGCGGATCACGGCCCCGAGCGGGCGCGGCTGCTCGATCGGCTGGCCGCATCGCAGGTGCGTCGCTGCTCGTTCCCCCGCCTCCTGGCTGCTGCTTCCCTTCTCGCCGCCGGGTGCCCGGCACGGGGTGCTCCGTCGGGTGGCCCCGGCGCGCCCCTCTTCCCTTGCGCTGACACCGCCGCCGCTCGGCACATGTTGCCGCGCCCCCCCCCCCTCCCCCGCGGCCGGCGGGGGGGTCGTGTCGCACACAGTCCGCCCTGTCGATGGTCCTGTCGGTGTCTCCCTCGCCGGAGGATGTGCGCTTCGCCTGTGAAAGCGCCACCATCATGGTGAACGCCCTGCTGGAGGCGCAGCGGCTGTCGGTGACCGGCGCCGGCGGGGCCGGCCCCGCGCCGGGGTCCCTCTCCTTCCGCCTGTACCTGGGGTACCTGCGCCTGGGCGGGCTGCTCGGTCGCGCCGGGGACCATGGGCCGGCGCTGGCGGCGCTTCGCCGGGCGCAGGAGGCCCTTCGGGGGTGGGCGCATGCCGCCGGCGCCGAGGGCGCCCCCTCCCGCCGGACCCCCCGGCTGGACTACAACATGGGCATCAGGTGCGCGACACTCTGTCGGGGTGACAGCCGAAGGGGGGGAGGGGGGGGGGGGGGGGGGGATGGCCAGCCGCGGTACCACCTGCGCGAGGGGGGAGGGCCTAGCATACTGACCGCTGTGCTGTGTCTGCCGGATCGCTGTTGCGCGGGGCAGTTCTCTGGCTCTGGGCGCCCTGGAGGACGCCTGCGACCATTTTGCCTCCTCTCTGGCGAACCAGGTGTGTAAATGCCATGGCTGGCCATGCTCTTTTCTGCTCTCTCCTCTCTCTCTCTTTTCCCTTTTCCCTTTTCCCTTTTCTCTCTTCTCTCTTCTCTCTTCTCTCTCTTCTCTCTTCTCTCTCTTCTCTCTCTTCTCTCTTCTCTCTCTTCTCTCTCTTCTCTCTCTTCTCTCTTCTCTCTCCCCCTCCCCTTATCTCTTCTCTCTCTTCTCTCTTCTCTCTTCTCTCTTCTCTCTTCTCTCTCTTCTCTCTTCTCTCTTCTCTCTTCTCTCTCTTCTCTCTCTTCTCTCTTCTCTCTTCTCTCTTCTCTCTTCTCTCTTCTCTCTTCTCTCCTCTCTCCTCTCTCCCCCTCCCCTGATCTCCCCTCTCCCCCCTCCCCTCCATCTCCGCGCCACTTACACGCCCTCCACACCCCCCCACACCCCCTCCAAATGCCGCTCCCCAGCTGGAGGCCACTGACCACGCGGCCGAGGAAATGTACGCCTCAGAGGCGGAGGCCGCCGCCGCGGCGGAGCACGCCCTGCGCGGGCTGGCGATCGCCGATGCCGACGCCGCGGCGCCCGACTCCCCGATCCACGGGCTGCGCCGGGCCGCCCGGCACGCCCCCCCGGGGGCCCTCCTGCCGGCCGGGCACCCCTCCACCGCGCTGAGCCCCAGCGGCCAGGACGGCGACGCCGACACCTGGGAAGCCCTGCGCGTGACACTGGTGGAGCTGGGCGAGACGGCCCGGGCCAAGGCGGCTGCCAACCGGGACCTGGCCGGCTGCCTGGCATGGGATCTCCCCCGGGGCAGGCTGGCCGCCGGGCCTCCAGGCCTTTGAGGGGAGGCCCCGGCAGGCGGCCAGGCAGGCGGGCGGGCCCCAGGCAGGGTCCCTCGACTGCAAGCCCATCCGGCCGTCTCCCCCCCCCCTGGCTGGGGCCG